CAATGGCTCCATCACACCCAATCTCCCCCCAGTAGCTCCACCACCCTGGACATGGGATGCCCCATGGCTCCATCAACCCCAATCCCTCCCCAATGGCTCCATCACTGTGGATGATGCCCTCCAGCTCCATCACCCTGGACAGGTGACACCCCATAGCTCCGTCACCCCCAATCGTCCCCAAACAGCTTCATCACCCCAGACAAGTGATGCCCCCCCGGCTCCATCACCCCCAATATGTCCCCAATAGCTCCATCACCCCCAATCTCCACCCAATGGCTCCATCACCCCTAATCCCTCCCCACAGCTCCATCACCCCAAGGCAAGCAATGCCCTACAGCTCCATCACCCTCAATAGCTCCATCACCCTGGACATGGGATGTCCCATGGCTCCATCACCCCCACTCTTTGCCCAACAGCTCCATCACCCCAGACAGGTGATACCTCATGGCCCCATCACCCCCAATCTCTGCCCAGTGGCTCCATCACCCCAAGACAAGCAATGCCCCACAGCTCCATCACGCCCAATCTCCCCTCAATAGCCCCGTCACCCTGGACATGGGATGTCCCACGGCTCCATCACCCCCAGTACCCCTCCCAAGGGCTCCATCACCCCAGACAGGTGATACCCCATGGCTCCATCACCCCCAATCTCCCCCCAGTAGCTCCGTCACCCTGGACATGGGACGTCCCATGGCTCCATCACCCTGAATCCCTCCCCACAGCTCCATCATGCCAAGACAAGCAATGCCCTACAGCTCCATCACCCCCAAATCTCTGCCCCACAGCTCCATCAGCCCAGACAGGTGATGCCCCACAGCTCCAGCACCCTCAATAGCTCCACCACCCTGGACATGGGATGTCCCATGGCTCCATCACCCTGAATCCCTCCCCACAGCTCCATCATGCCAAGACAAGCAATGCCCTACAGCTCCATCACCCCCAAATCTCTGCCCCACAGCTCCATCAGCCCAGACAGGTTGCCAGACACAGCCCCAGCAGTGAGCGCGCGCCGCGTGCCGTGAGCGCGCGCCGCGTGATGGCTCCATCACCCGCAATCTCTACCCAACAGCTCCATCACCCCAGACAGGTGATGCCCCCCGATGGCTCCATCGCCCCCAGCCCACCTTGAGGTGCTTCTGGAGCTGGACCTCGTGCTGGCGGGTGAGGTGCTCGTGCTGCTTCTGGAACTCGGCGAAGAGCAGCTGCTTCTGGAGCTGCTGCTGCTGCTTGAGGGCCAGC